CCCCCCCCCCCCCCTCCCGGGCCTGCGGGGGATGTTTCTTGTTGTTCCCTGGGTTGCGGACAAGGAATATTTTGAACCGTAACGCCGATTCTGCCCGTCATTTGCGGAAGGGGGTGGTTCTGGTTTGTATCCTCTCAGCACTCAATACCCTCCCCGAGGCAAAAGGTGATTTACGCGATTAATTCACCATATATTTATGCGTGATTAGTCGATGTTCATTCCAAAAATGATTCCGAATTACCAGTTAGAAAGGCGTCCCGGTGCGGCAAACTGGGGTCGTCCGCACGAAGGGCCGCGGCCCTAACGAGAAGGCTGCTGTACTGTAGGGCGGAACAATATGCACTTCTTGCGCGATTGCGCGCGCAGCGCGCAATAAATGGCGCGCACGTAAAGATGATGAACATTGGTTCAAACCAAACTAAACGAAGCGATTGGTTTTCGAAACTGAACAATACCATGCGTGTCAGCAAACGGATACTTTTTCGTCCAACTTCCACCTCCCAGCAACTCCCTAAACCGCGTGGTCGTCAGATTGGCCTCCGGCTGGACGGAAAGTTGTAGTTACAGCAAGCCCCTGGTCACTGACACAGCAACGAATGTTTTTTTTCAGTGTTCTTCAGGAATACAGTAGTTTCCCCCCCAGCAAATCTAGTTATTCCCTAAAGTGGTAATTTTCAAGGACCCGATTTTGGTTGTCCCTCCATAACTTTTGACTGAGATCGAATAAAAAAAAAAAAAAGACAGCTTCAGAACGCCCGTAGCATGGCGCAAAAGAGTAGCGAGTCGCCAGAGAAAAGACAAAAAAAAAAAAGTGCTCGCGGCGGGTTTCGAACCCCCGACCTTGGCCCGAGAGAAACTCTTCACCCATATATTTTCGTACTCCAGATTTTTGTTTTTCACGTCAAAACACCTACACGTGTACCGGGATACCCTGAACCACTTCACAAATGCCTCTGCCGCGCCTATAGCGTACCTATATCACCCGCTAACATACTTCCGTCGCAATAATGTGCCAGCTTTCAACAAACACGTCGCTTTTGTACAACATTCCATCCAGAAAAACAGGGAAAAAAACTGAAAGAGTTCCGCTCAACGAACAAGAATGCGCCATCCATCTACTGTCTCCATTCCTTCGGGGTCGGGCGCCTGTGTGACTTGTACTTCTTGTACGTCTTCTTGCCTTCAGGCCCTTCCACACGCGTCTCGCGGTACATGAGGGCGTGTGTGTATGCCTTCTTGCAGTAGCCCTGGACCACTGAAACAGCCTGCCTATCCTTCTCTGATCTAAAACTCAGCGGCACGTTTTTGCGCAAGCATTCCAACGAATACGTGCAATTCTTGCGAGTCCAGTCCTTCGCTCGTCCCCAAACAAGTTCGATGGGGTTACACTCGCAGTGGTACTTTGGAAGCATGAGACAGCCCCCCCCGTGGCGCTGCATTAACAGCACCAGACTAGAATCAACTTCCTTGAAGTCTTTCTGCTCTCCTAGAACGTGTTCCATGCTCTTGCTTAGGTCCTGCTTCTCGCCTGAGCCCCCGGTCTTAGTCATGCCTTTGACCAGGAGCCCCCTCTCCCACAAGACCTGCCGCATTCCTTTCAGCTTTCCGACATACTCGGCCGGCCGGAGATGCGGGGAGTGGAATGGGGGTGGGTCCCCCCTCCGAAACGTCAAGTGCTGTACCGTGCCGGCTGGGAGCTTCGGGGTGTCTTCGAGGATGGTCACGGCGTCCATCGGCGCAAGCTCTTCTCCGTTCCTCACACCACCGACACCCAAGTTCATTCTCTTCACCGACGGTGCGCCGACCTCCAGGCAGTCATGACAGGACGACCAGTCGAACAGGCCTACAGGCTTGTGCTCAGGGTAGAGAACTGTTAACATGTCGAGCACGTCTGCCATGTGCTCCAGCATCTTGAGCCCGGTCGTCGTGGCCATCGAAGTATAGACCCTTTTTGCCGTCGTGGTATTCGCATCCCATCTTGTTCAGCCACTCCGTTGCCGTGGAAAGGGAGATTTGGCGCTTCGGCGGCTCGTTCTCCTTCCCTTCCACCAGCCTTATTCTCAATCCTTGGAAAGGGTCGAAGTACTCCGATTGTTGCGCCTCCAGCATCGGCATGATGGTGCCGTTCACCCACTTACGGAAATCCTCCGCCGTCTTGTTGGCTTGCCCACTCAGTATCCCGCAGTTCTCGAGCACCCAGTCTTTCGCGAGCTTCGAGATGCCTTCGTCGAGTTCCAGCAAAAACCGGCGCTTGAAGCGACCTGTGTCGGGTGGTTTGATGTGTCCGCGCGCGATGAAATCCCGCTCCCACAGCTGTACTGTTGGAACACTTCTCCGTCCAACTTCTGCTGCGATGGACAGTGCATCCATCCGGTCGACCCCGTTGAGCTGCTGAGTGTACAGCTGGATCAACGTCATGGCCACCTGGACCGTGTGCGCCAGCTGATAGTTGGACAAATAGTTGTCTTCCGTACCGGTGTCCTGCGCGAAGGGGGGTGTCGAGGGCGGCGATAAACCCCTCCATTTTCAGTAGCCGATTTGTTTGACTGCAGTGTTTCGAGTGCATTTGTTTGTAAATTAGTTGAGAGTGCAGACAAACTAATGTGCAGGACGATACTCTGGCGGTGGCAGCCGGAGCTCGGAGGGGGTGGTGGCGCCCGAGAAACTCCTCCATAATCATGACCTTTTGACAAACAAAACAGCAGTGTAAATTACAGAGTGTGGACGGAGGTTCGAGCATGACATGCTGGAGAAGAAAAGAAAATCACACGTTGAAGTCTAAATTAGTCTATAAATGCTGCCTTCAAATATTACTCACATCCTCCATCTCCGCTGCTGCGCTGATCGACTTCGCCGCATCCTTCACGACGAGGTCGAGCGTCTCGATACTCTCAGCGCGAAACTCGTCCGCCGCTTTTGCGAGCACCCAGGCTCTCATCTCCGCCCCTTTCGCACGCCTAATCTTCTTTGCGGCTTGAGATGTATTGTACGTGCCCTTGTTCAGGTATCTCTTCTTCGCCTCCTCGGCCCACTCGGGTTCGAACTCTATCCAAGCCCTCACGACTTCTTGCAGACTGCTGGCAGACAGGTTGAATGCCCCAGGAACGGCGTCCTGTAGTTCTTGGCGCAGTCTCAACGCACGCGCCCGCCGGGTAGCCCTTCCCAACGATCCAACGGGTCGTCCGGTGTAGTCACGTCGTCCGCCCCAGTTTGAATCTCGTGATCTTTCCGCACCTGCAAGACCAGGTTCTTGCAGTGAACCAAGGGCCGGGGCTGCGGTTCTAGCTGCGCACTGCTCCCGCGGTGGTGCGCTCTTCATGGGCGCGTCGGATGAGCTCTTTTTTTGAAGGGCCTCCCAGTCAGCAGCAGTAACGTTGTCGAGGATGATTCCCTCTGCGATGGCGTCGCGACCGCGTGGCTTTCCAGACGTGATCCAGCCGCTCCGCCATTTCAACTCAGTGCTGTCGCTGGACCTTGCGTACAGCACTATACGGTACTTTCGTGGCTTCTGTCTATCGATGCTGAGTGTGTTGCGCAGCTTGAATCCGTCAGGAACTGACTGTTGTAGGCAGGCGATCCTCTCTTGCTCGAGCTCCATTCGGTTGCCGGTCTTCACAACAACATGTGTACACCTCTCATCACCCTCTCATGTGCGGTGTCGGCTGCTGCCCACACCAACGGTCGGGCCGCATTTTTTTTGAAAATTGCATCTTGATTAATTTCGAACTGGAGCCAGGCAAAACCGGGTTCAGAACCAGGTGATCTAGAACCAACTTTTTGCGAGGATTCCAAAAAAATATATATATTTTTGAGCTGATATTTTTTGAGCTGTATTTTTTCACAGAGGTGGTTGGGGCCCCGCAAATCGAGATTTCCTAGTTCCTCCGCGTTTTCGGCGAAACGGAATATAGGACATAACTCGTCACCAACATGTCTGTGAAAGCTAAAAGTAGGTTCATTCGAAAGCCCTGGTCCGTAGCTTTCGAATGGTATGCATTTTGTTGGGTAAATACCCTGGCTCCACAGAGAAATTAATCAAGATGCCTGACAGCGGGTCCTTGACAATTACCACTTTACCCAAATCATGTCTCACATACACTCATCCTCCAGTTACTCTCCCATCACCAATGCCCTCTGAACCTATCGTAGGGTCCATGAATGTTATGAAACTTATCAATGCCCGCTTACTGTGGACAACAAATCAGGGCGCCAAACCCTGCAAACTTGCGATTTGAGATTGCTTTTGATTATTTTCTGTAGCAGGCCATGCGGAAGTGTTTATCTATTCGTGCACCCTCCTGCCTTTTTCGATCCGTTCGTCCCCTCGCACACATCAAGAACGACCAAGGAAACCGATACGAAGAAAGCATTGGTGAGGATGGAGACAATAGGAAATGGCCTCTATTTTTTCTGGTGGGGAGGGACAACCATGCAGTACGTAAACGGCGCCTAACATGTGAGAGGGGGGAGGCACTCGGGCTTTAAAAGATACTGGCGACAATGACTGTGTAGGATGGGGTTCGATTGGGCGTACTCGGGTCTGCACCCCGTACCTGCTAATTCACTAAACTGTGTTGCTGATCCGCGCCCCCAAGAACGCATAGACTACTCAATGTTTGCCCACGAACATGTAAACACCCTGCCTTGATCTTCCGCCCGGCCCTTGGTGTGCTGCTTGCTTTGTTGGTGTACTTGCCGTTTTCATCGTTGCGGCCTGTTTTGATTTTGTCTGGCGCGTGGCACAGCACTTGGAAATAGGGATCAGTCATCACCGATTTGCCCGGCGGGATGTTCGGGAATCTTCCGGCCGTAAAGACGCTGTGAGTGAGTGAATCAGACCCAGTGGTGCTCAAAATTGTGCTCACCTGGTAAGATGGAGAGATCGATCCAACCCAGCCCAACCAGCCGCTTACGCTCACGAGCTCGTGTTCGTATTGTCATCTTCTCGTGGTAGCTGTGAGAAAGAAAAGTACTACTGCAGTGCCATATGTGGCAAGCAGCTCGCATCAAAGTGAAAATGACGGTTGTTCGCACGCAGTTAAGCGTGGCTGCTACAGTAGTACGTTTTTATCAAGAGTTGTCAGTCTTGCCGTCCTTCCGAAGATCTCGAATCCGAGATCATGCCTTTCGAGCAGTTCTCATGCATGACCAGACCCACCCTCAATTCCGTCCCCAGAACGGGTTCACGAGAGATCGCCCGGTTTTCACTGAATGAGTCAAAGTTGGGTGAAATATCCTCACAGCGTAGCACACAAAAACGAGTGCGGGGGGGCTCACGGAACCAGCGGGGGGTAGCTGGAATCAGCAAGGTTCAGTTAGCTTTGTCTACAGCGTGTGCTCGTAGACCATAGATTGACGTACGGAGATCTCTTTTTTCCACCCAAGCAGCTATCGTTTGCTTCTTCTTCATTCCACTGTCCAGACTTGCTGCGCCATTCTTTCAGCCTGCACACCTTCATTCTGTCTGCTCTGCTAATTCCGTCGACCGATTGGCGTCCACAAAAACCTTTCATGCTTATCTTGGTGGTAGCAATTCGATGTATCGTTGTGTACGTTACTTACCATGCAGGGCAGTTTCCAACACGAAGGTCAAGCATATTCGACGGCCTCGGCTCCTTTTCGCTTGCTCACGTGTAAGTCATTACCAGTCACGTTTCTAGCTGTACACGAGGCTAGGGTGACCCGGTACATTGTCATGCATAAGTGTTTGGCTGTTGAGTTGCCTATGCATCAAAATGATGGTCGACAGGGCTCTCTCCCTCTTCCAGGGATTGTTTTGATGTCTACCCATGCGTCCAACGTCCGTTCAAATGGATCGGTTTCTAATGCTGCCAGACGTGCGTTACTATGCACGCGTCTTTGTTTTCATCATGGTTCCATACTATCAGGGGCATCGTGGCCTGCCCAGAGCTGACGGAGCTTCCTGCTGATCTGTTTGCGGTGCTTCACAACAACATTGGAGTTGTGCGGGTGAATGCATCAGCATTGGTTGTTTCGTGACCTGCGTGCACACATTAGATTTCCACTTGAATGAATGGTGTCGTTGACCACGCAAGGCGACACTGACACATTTACACCGGCAAGAGAACACCCAAGTCCTGTCCAGTTTGGTTTGTTGTGCATCGGCCGCGGTAGCCTTGGTTTGTCGTGTAAAGTATATATGGTGGTGTGGACGGTACAGGCCCGTTCCACACACAGGCCAGGAGCTCAAAGCTCGAACGCTCGAGCCCGAGCTAAGGCGTCCTTGATCCCTGGGATTGGCTTGTCTCCCCGCTACATAACGTGTTGCCAGTGAGCAAATTTTGTAGATACCACTGTTCACAAGAACCCTCCTGTGGATATGACGACAAGAACGTTCCGCGGACAAGGCCAGGGTGAGCGATGTGGTAATTAAAGTATGTGCGCATCTGCATGGATGGACGGCGTGTTGGACCAACCCGATGTTCCGTGGAGTCAAAAAATGTTTTTGTGATCCACGGACGAGCTGCTACCGATGGAGGCTCTCATTGTCTAAACCTGCGCCTTTGTCCAACTGCGGGCGTCTTTCCTGATGGCCATGGATGAGATCACCTGTCGTTGCTTTCATGCTTACCCATTGGCAGCCATGCTCCCGGAACGTAGCTTGCGGGGTTGGTCTAATTCGAGGGCATCCGCTTTTTTCAGCGAGTGTTGTGCATAGATGTCCCGCCCGCTCTGACATGTCCCCACATAAGATTCGATGTGTAGCTTGCCTTCTGTCACCGTTGTTGGCTGAATGGCCTCTGACGACAAACCGCTGCTGCTGCCGAACAGGAGGATTCAGAGAAACCCTCAGCTGACGACTCTCCCTGTGGGGTTATTCGAGTACAACAACAAGCTCGGACAGATGTGAGTGACGCTCAGTTGAGGTAACAGGTGAGTCACACTGCTGCAGTAGTTAATGTATTCTTACTGGATTATGAAGCCGTCATTCGAGGATGGTATCCCGCAAGACACACATTGACTTTTCTTCGATGACCTCGGAGCAAACCTATGGAACCCCATCAATCACGTGGGAATTCGGTTCCCGACAAGACTTGCGTTGAACGTCGTACTGTGTATCCACGGATCGAAGCTTAGTGGCAGAGGTACAAACTCCGGGAACCAGACGTTACATTGTATATGTACCCCCCCATCCTGTGTTTGCAGAGATCCGTACAACAACGGGTTTATGTTAAGGAGTGTTGCTGTTTGGCACAGATAGGGTACACAGTCGGTCTAGATTAAGATGGGGGACGTCAGGAGGTAT